CTCCCAGAAGCCTTCACCACCACCTCTGGTGGCCAGGATTTCTGGGAGTTGAAGTCCAAGAACATCTGGAGGCCCAAGGTTGGAGACCACTGCTCTAGCCCATCCCCTGAAGTTTTCCTTCACATCAAGATATTTTATACTTAGCCATAATTTGTGGTTTCTTCCAATTTGCTGATGCCTTCTTTCTGTCTATGGATTTTGCTTATTTCACTGTGTAACGATCCATGTTGAAAGAACAAGCTCGCTATTAAGTATAAAATAATTAGATTTCTCCAGCCATGTCCTGGAAGAAAACTCTCTAAGAGAAACATGGACGCGTGTGGAAAATGTTGGCACATCGCCATCTTCACGGAGGTATGCCTTCCAATACATGCCTGTAATTCAGTCTTTCCCAGTGGATAATGCTGGATTCCAGTTCCCATCATTGCTGTCCAGAACACCAGTGGTATGATGGGAGTCGTAGTGAAGTACCAAGTTGGGGAAAGTGGCCAGAACAAATGTCTTGGACTACAAATTCCATTAATCACAGTTGGTGTGATATCTGGTTTCCAAACTCATCTTGCACTAAGATTCCGGGCTGATATCTATCACTGTCATGTGGGGTGGAGGCATTTGTGGGTGGAACAGCCCGTTGTAGGTCACCAGCATCAATACACCACACGTAGCTATAGATGGATGGCAGGAGGGGGTTGGGTGGGTTCTAAAAGAAAAACCTCTTCCTTTTTCTTGCAAGGGAGTCCATGAACTAAACCCAACTGGCCTTCACTACCTGGGCCTCCTGCGAACTTGGGTTTTCAAGAATATAGTAGGACCCCCTTATTCACGGGATCAGTATCTACTGATTCACTTATCCGGGGTCTGAAAATTATTAAAAATATTAAAAGAAAAAATCCATTAAAAATGATTTTCATGTGTATTACCAGAACCAGTCACTAGAAGGAGCCAGAGACCATGCTTTGAATACTTGTTAGTGAACGATACGTAGTATGGTCTCTGGCACCCTCTAGTAGCTAGTTCTGGTAATGCATGTGAAAACAATCGTTCCCTTTTACCATGCTTTTCTTTCTTTCTTTCTTTCTTTCTATCTATCTATCTATCTATCTATCTATCTATCTATCTATCTATCTATCTATCTATCTATCTATCTATCTATCTATCTATCTATCTATCTATCTATCTATCTATCTATTGAGAGAAAGTGCTCGCTATTGTCCAAAGTTTTCAGTATCCATGGGGTCTTGGAATCAATCCCCAGCGGATATGCGGCCCCTACTGTACAAGGATCTTTCTGTTGTGTTCAATAAAGCTTACTTTTTAAAGGATGGCCTTTCCTTTCCTTTTGTCCTTTGTGCCCCTTCAGACCTTCTTCTCCAGAATGTCTTGCACTACAACTCCCATCAGCACCAACCAGCCAGGCAGCGGCTGGCTGGGGTTGATGGTAGTCTCAGCCCTTCTATAACCGGGGCTGTTTTGCCTAGGTTCGTCTTCATTTACTCTGCACACACTCTCCCTCCTGTAGCATGACAGGAATTCTCTCCTCTTTTCTGTACATACGGACAACCAGTCGAAAAAAAGCTGAAAGGTGTTACACATAGGGTACCATTTGTAGGGAAGTGAGGTATAAACAAATTGAAACAAGTTCAGAGGAGGGCGACGAGGAGGATCAGGGGATGAAAAACAAGCCCTAGGAGGAAAGGCTGAAAGAACTGGGGATGTTTAGTCTTGAGAAATGAAGGTGGAGGGGTGATACGATGACACTTTTCAAATATTTGAAAGGCTGTCCTACAGAGGAGGGTCTAGACCTGTTCTCGATCATCCAAAAATGCAGGACACGTAACAATGGGCTCAAGTTAAAGGAAGCCAGATTTTGGATGAATATCAGGAAAAACTTCTTAACTGCTAGAGCAGTACGACAGGGGAACCAGTTACCATGGGAGTTGGTGAGCGTTCCAACGTTGGAGGCATTCAAGAAAAACTTTGATAATCACCTGGCACATCTCCTTTGATCTGGATTCCTGCCTTGAGCAGGGGGTTGGACTGGATGTCCTTGTAGGCCCCTCCCAACCTCACTTTTCTCTGATATCTGTGATTCTATAACTCTCTTCCCTGCTAACCCCCAGGCGTTAGACTGTGCCGGTTCTGTGCCAGTTGCCTGTCTTGGCTCTGGAAACCACCGCAGATGGTCAGATGTAAGAAGAGTCCTGCTGGACCAAGTTCCTTTTTAAACTACAGTTCCCAGAGTCCTCTACTCCTCTGACCAAGGGTCCTGGGCGGAGGTATCCTGGGAACTGCCATTCAAAAAGTAACTTTTCCAAGCGCGGGTGACCCTCGGTGTAAGGCTGGCACAAGAGGTCCGGCATCCCATCCCTGGAAGCAAGGTCCAAGTTGGCCAGGAAAGCAAGCCAGGAGTTTGCATTATAAGAGCACCTTTCGGGGCCCTTCCCTGTCCGTGCGCAAGGCCGTGGCCCCTCTCGGCTGGAAGGCGCCCAGTTAGGCAAGAGGGGAGGTTGCCAAGGGCTCCTTGTTCTGTCCGAGACTCTGGCTGAAAGCCTACTTCTTAGCGTAGGACGTGGTGTCATCCGCCCCGGCCGGCCGAGTGCCACATCAAGCATGCCTCCCCTTCCAGGTCGGCGAGACGCTTGCAGCTTCTGGAACAGCTTGCCTTCTCCAACTGCAGCCCAGTATATCTGGAGCGGATGGGGGAGAGGGCAAACTTCAATCAGCTGTTCTACGGCCTCAGTTGCCTGAAGCCCCCCCAGGCAGAACCTGGGTGGAAGCTGGGCTGTAACTCCAAGAATCTCCAGGCGTTCCTGAGTGATGGGCCATGGAGTGAAAGCTGGACCTGGGGCCCACCACAGAGGAGGCCACCCCCTCCGCCGTTCGACTGGGTCATGTCTTTGCTTTGGCCTTTGCCGGTGTTGTTGGGGCCTCCCCTACCTGTTGGGCATCATGGCCTGAGGAGAGGCCATAGGTGCCAGGACCACCCGAGCCATCAGCAGGCACCGTGATGCGGCTTCCTCTCCTGGGTCGGAAGAAAAGAGGCCCTCCCTTCGGGGGTCCTCATGCAGCTTCTCCACATCCAGAGGAGCAAGACTACAAGTCCCATCATTCCAGCCAGAAGCCCAAGTCTCTCTTTCAGAGTTCTCAGCGAAGGGTCTGCTTTGTGGTGGAGCATCTTCTCGGTCAGTGGGCCTGCAGCCAAGTCCCTTTGGCAAGGATAAGCTCCGTGCCATTAGGAGGAGGCGAGAGGGACAGTCACTCTGTACACAACCTGGACACTTTTACTCCCTCCCCCCTCTCTCCCCCCCTCTCTCTGCTATGCATCATCTGTCTTTGATAAAAGTCACGTGCGGCACCCAGGCCGACTCAGGTGCTAGTACTTCATGTGGAATGGAAATTATGCCCCAGGCATGGAAAGATATCTTCCATACTTCAGAGGTGAAGAGTAGGTGAATTTGCAGAAAAGGAAGTCTATACTATGCGACCTAGGAATATAATATGTCACATTCAGGAATCTGAGGTTTCTAATCGTTTACCAAAGGATGCATCGGTAACTCGCCCCTAGCATGCTCAGCCAGGGACGAAGGGCGATGGGAATTGTAATTCAACAATATCTGGTGCCCCTACTAGGAGGGTAAGAGGATCTGAGTGGGCCAGGGAAGCTGACACAAATACAGTTGGGTGGCTAGACTCCCTGATGGCTCTAGGATCCTAGCAAAGTGACCCAAGGCTGAATGATCACAGCTGGAACACCAGACTATGCATCTGCCTTCTTCGGGTTTAATGGCTGTTATCAGTAGAAGGGGATCAAGAATTCCAATGGTGATATAGCAGTCATTGAGCTACAGAAGTAGTGGAAGGTGAAACGGGCAGAGGGTCTTTCACAGGTAATAGCGGTGCTGACTCCAGTTAGTACTGTGTAGAATCAGACACTTCTGAATAGCCCATATTTTTAAAATCTTATTAGGAGAAAAAAAAAAAAAGAAACAAGCAATAGTGCTGGAAGACAAGACTCCCAGGGTCTTCAGTCAGTTATATCTTGGGTCCCCAAAGGTTCTTGAACTGCAACTGCCCAAGCCTTCACCACTAGCTGTGCTGGCAAGGGCTTCTGGGAGTTGCAGTTCAAGAATGTCTAGGGACTCAAGACTGAGAACTACTGAGCTATGGGAATTGACAAAGGATAAGTAGGAATAGCAACGCCACTAATGATGATGTCTAATTTCTAATGCGCATAGAGGCAAAAAAAGAGGCCAATGGCATTCAAGGCATATAAAGGAGCACGGACTGTGAGAAGTATGGATCAAGGTGAGCTCAAAACTGTGAAGCAAGACAGAAAACATTTAAAATTGTAATAATAGATGTGAGAGAATTAAAGTGGACACAAATAGGATATTTTCATGCAGATAATTACAAAGCATTTAATCCCAGCAACAACGTATTTTTTAAAAAGGCATGATAAATGTAGTACAAGCACTTAGGGACTATAATGAAAAATCTAATCAAATAATATTAAGAAGAATTCTTGGAAAACTTATTGACCTAGCTGTATATGTCCCACCCACAGATGCTGAAAAAATAAAGAGTTTTTAGGAAAGTGTTCAGAAGGAAATTTGCCACACATCAAAACAGGATGTGCTGCTAATAATTGGAGAATTTATCCCAGGAGCTAGAAATTAAGCTGGAGAGTGACACATAGAATTCTCTGAAGCCAACAACTTGTCTATTGCAATTACTTGTTTCAAGCAGCCTAAGAGATTATTGTACACGAGATGTCAGC